TGTGTGATATTATGAGATTTAATATGTGTGTGTGTATGTGTGTGTGTTTTCATCCGTGGTTCCTGGTTCATAATTCCCGCAGCCCTTGTTACAGTCTGGTTATAATGTTGGGGCACCTTAGGCCTCAGAAGCAGCCCTCAGAAAATAGAATCTCTCTCTCTGACCTTCTGCTGCCTTCCTTTCGTCTGCTCCTTTCTCTCCCCAAGGCAGGAATCTTCCCTCACCTTTCTGTCTTGGAGCCGACCATAAATAAACAAATTCTCTGACTTACCTCGTCTGATTGTAGGCCATTAAGACTCTCATTTTGGAAGGGGTCCTGCCCTGTACCCTGGAGGAAGGAATGCTGCACAGAGAGGCCAAGAAAAATCTGGACAGGCCTTGCTGAGTTTCCCCACTCAGTCTGTTAGTATGAGTTCGTATCCTTTTTGTCTAATCACATTCCTGCATGGCTGTCGATTATACCTATCCCATGAAGTCTCCATAAAAGGCCCAAGAGGATAGGGTTCAGAGAGTTTCTGAATAGCTGAACAGTGGAGGTTCCTGGAGGGTGGCGCGCCCAGGGTGGGCCTGGAAGCTCCACTCCTATTCTCCATACCTCGCCCTATGCATCTCTTCATCTGTATTTCGGGTAATATTCTTTACAATAAACCATTAGATGTAAGTTTCCCTGAGTTCTGTGAGCTGCTCTAGCAAATTAGTCAAACCCAGAGAGGAAGTCATGGGAACTTCAACTTGAAGCTGGTCAGTCAGAAGTTCTGAAGGCCCAGACTTGCAAATGGTGTCTGGGGGAAGGGAGGGTACAATTTTGTGGGACTGAGCCCTCAACCTGTGGGATCTGAGGCTATCTCCAGGTAGATAGCGTCAGGACCGAATTGAATTAGAGAACACACAGCTAGTGTTTGCTGCTTGCTGTGTGAGGAAACCCACACACACATTTGGTCACAGAAGTATTCTGTGTTGATTGTGATGGTGCGAAAGCAGAGGAAAAGCACAGTTTGTGTTTTTTTTTCATTCACACCTGCATGCCTGTGGACAAAGATGCCACAGCTTCCTAATTTCCTACTGATGTTTTATTTTTTTAATCTATGAAAGGAAAAGGTGAAGTGAGGTAATCCCTGGTGCGTATCATTAGGTGGGCCACAAGATTAAACATAAAAAAACCAAAAGACGGGTATGTCAGAACAATGTTGGGCGACATCATATTGGTACAGAATTTTACGGTTGACAAGGCATATTCCCATGTAATCTTTTCATTTGAGCCTCCAAGCAATTCCGACTACAGCAGTTATTTCTGAATTGCTCAGGCAAAGCCTGTCAATCAGTGAAGTTAAGAGACCTGCCCAAGATCACACAGTTCAAGCAATAAGGCTAGAACATGAACCTAAATCTCATAAATTCAATTTCCAATGTTCCCTCCACAAAATATTAATACATTACATCTATGTCAAAAACCATTTGAAGCAAAAGAGAACAATGCAAGAGAGTCTTTTATCTGAAATCCTTGAGGCAAATGAGTTTCAAGTTCACATACTTTTAGAATAAAATCCAAACTTCTTAGCGTGGCCTGCAAGACTTTAATGTACCAGATTTATTTCTCTCCATTCTTCCCTTTTCGTTCCTTCCATACATCTATTCACTCAAAATAATGCGTTGTCTATTTATTTAGCATTTGCCATATATCAGGTTCTATTTGAGGTTCTAGAAAAAGAGCAGGAAGCCAGAAGCACCCTGGTTGGTCCCTGCCCTGATGGGACTTATATTCTACTTGCAGGCAGAGCCAGACAAATGTACCAAATGGCATGAAAAAAATAAAACGGGAAGTTGGTATAGAAAGGACCGGGGATCAGATGGGGGTGCTCCTTTAGACAGAGTGTCAGGGTAGTGCTCTTGGTAGAGAAAGCTGTGGGCTGAATGTTGAGAAAATCCAGCATGCAAAGACCTGGTGAAAGATTATTCACAGCAGAGGGAACAGTATGTGTGAAGATTAACTATTTACAGTTTGGGGAACAGGCCACATTCCCTTTTTAATTCAAGCCTTCACATGTGCTTCTCCTTTTCATGAAATACTCACTGTCTGATCCACTCTCCTCCCCCTCTCTTGTCTGGGTAATTCCTCCTCATCCTTCAGAACTCAGTTTGATTGTATCTCCTCCAGGAATCCTTCCATGATTTTCCCTCTCCTTCCCCATAACCTGGCTTGGAATTAATTACCCATCCCATGTGTTCGAAAAATATTCTCTATTTCCTATATATTTTGTTTTATTTTCATATTCCTTCAATTATGAAGATCTTGAGAGTACAGAGTATGTTGTCTCAGAGCTTAGCACAATGCCTGGTTATTAGGCTCTTAATAAATATGTGATAAAGGAATGTTGAAATTTTAAAAATCAACAAAACATATTGCCTGATGGCTTAACACTAACAACAGGGCATAAAGGAGAAAACAAATGGACTACTAAAATTGCAGTAGAAAAGTGAATAATGCCACCTAAAAAAAACATATTATTTGCGACAGAGAATTTTCTATGGTACATACCTTTTCAGACACTTCTAAGTGAAATACTTTTAGAGCTTGCTTAAAAGCTGCTTTATCTAAAAGTCCATTTCCTTCCTTGTCCAATCGTTGAAAGTATCTTCCCAATCCAGTCAAAATACGAACACTTCTTTTATGTAGTTTTTCTTTTAGCACATCTGTTCAACAAGAAGAGAAATGGAAACTGTTTTTGTGCATGAATGCATCAAGCTACAGTTATCTCTCTTGTAAGAAAACTAAAGTTGATGTAACTGAAATAAGGGATGTGAATATTCAACCAAACCTGTGTATGACTGACAAAAGACTTTGGAAAATAAAATAGTTTTAATAAAGAGGATTAAATATAAAATCACATGCAAATACGCCAGAACTATAGCACCACTGTGTGGTGAAAGTGTTGTATTTTAACTACAGGAAAATAATGTTTGATTTTATCAGCAAGAAGATAACCTAAATGTTATAAATAAGATCTTGGCTTTTGTTGTCTGACTTCTTTATCTAACCACTTCCACATCTTTAATCCCTTTTCCCTGTCTTTGTTGTTTATCAACTGAACTACAAACTTGATGCCAGGCAAGTCGCTCAAAAATTATCCATTCAACATTTTTTAAATAGTTTGGAATCTTCAAATTGTAACTTGTATGTTAAATAGCATCAAGGCTTTGGAACACTGTCCTATACTTATGTTTTTAAAGTAACCCCTCCTTCCAGAAATTCATAAGAGTTTATATGCTTAAGTCCCTGGCATTCTCCTTCTAGCTCAGTTATTTCATTTAATGCAGTTTGAACCATATTTACTTAAGAGAATATTGGTAAATTTACTAAAGCTGTTATTAGATATAATACATTAGAGAAAAGAACAAATGTCACTAGCTTCAATAATTAACCATAACAGAATAAACTGTTTACTAACATTGGCATGAAGAATATTTGAGAGTTCAAATACCAATCTCAGACAACTTTCAAATCTGTTTCTTGCCTTCTTACTAGGACTTCCCTTATCTTTATATGATAAATCAGGATTTATCAAAATTCATAAATTATATGTTGATTAATGTGATTACTTGTCATACAAGTAATACACAAGAAATAACTTTCTCCCTTCTAGACTGTCAGATCCAACAAAGGAATCAGAGCCTAGTATACTGCAATGGTTATAAAATTGGACTCTAGAAATAAAATTTGTAAAATGTTTTAGCAACCAGAGCTGACATATATCTCATTTATTATTAATACCTACAACAACCCTGGAAAGTTAATCAGAGAGGTATCATTACCCCCATTTTAGAAGTAAAGAAAGACGTGTGAGGGATTTTGCCAAAGTCATCTATTCAACAGCAGAGTCCAAACATAAGACTCCCAGTCTAGCATTTTTTTCTTTTGTACCAGGCCACCACAAATCTCTTCAGAATATCATCTAATATGCA